TATAATTATATACGTGTCCACTTATGATAATAATGGCGTCCGTTTTCAGGATCGGATCTAAACGACTCCAGATGCTTCGCTTTAAAGGTGGTTTAGCACGTCTTCTCCGGGGCACTTTGAACCCACAGTGCTCTCCACCGTAGAGTAGAAAGTAGGGAGTGAGGGAATGAGTCACTTTCCTTCGAAGATGTAGCCCGCTCTATATTTCTGAGTACAACTGTTTCATGCTGTCTGCAAATTACGAGAATATGTAAGATTTATATAGGCGTATTATTAAAGGGCTATGCAGGATCTGTAGACTCTATCAGGTGGTCCACAGAACCAGATGCCCCAGCATGATTGAGCAACTGTTTGCTTCTATCTTCCATGCCCCCTTCATCCTAAACCCCTTAGTCCCCAAAGCGTTTTGGGAACTGGCAGGTAAATCACAATGCTCTGCCAGAGTGTGCTGATTAACCACTGAAGGTACATGGTCATGGGGTTTCCTGCAGGTACTCCGCTTCACCCCACAGTCCAAAAACATGCTGTGGTGAGCTGGAGTTTCCAAATTGTCCATAGGTGTGGATGTGTGTGTGTGAATGGCATGTGTGCTCTGCGATGGATGGGTGTCCATCCTGGGTTATTCCCAACTTTGCGCCCGTAGCTGGCAGGATGGGCTCCGTACCCCTGTGATCCTGCATAGGACAATGGATGGATGGATGGATGGATGGATAGCACCATACTTCATTTAGCATGGACCGACCATGGCGTCATAATGTACATTCGGTCTGTCACTTGTCATGTCATGGTTTGTTTTAATGGCGACTTTTAAGGCATTTTCTAGCAAAACTAAAGTATTTCTTGCTTGCTATGTATGTCCATTTATAAAGACTGCATTAGTTAACAACAATGTGATATGAATTGTAGCAAACCAGTAAATACAATGTATATTCACATCATAATACTCATACTGCAGATGAATGGTTTTCTCTGTTGTACGTCCCAGTCAGTAGTTGGAGGAGTGCAGTGAGTGCAGTGAATGCAGTGAGTGCAGTGAGCCATCGCCAACATATATGGAAAGGAGCTACTGTTCTTCACATGGAACAAAAGCCTTTGCAGTGAGGTGGGAGCAGTTTGCAAACCATTAGCTTAGAGGAGAAAGTTCCGGAAAGTCTCTCTGCGTGGCATTATTATTTTATAGCTTTTTTACTATTTAAAAAAATTAAAGAAACACAAATATGCAAAAGTGGAAAAGCTCATGTTTGTCAGTAAACATAAAGTACTTTTCCTAAAAAGACTTATCGTGGGTTAAAAAAACATAAGTATTGTTTAACTAATTACTGACATAGCTACAAATAAAAAAAAAATTATAATAAAAAAATACACATTTCTGCCTTCGTAGGTATTGTTTAATCCAATCAACCCCGACATCCACGCATGGTGTGGGATGGGCATCTCAGAAAGGGCACAAATCCATCTTTTAACAGAACTTTGTTGTTTTGCTCCCCCTTCCTCTTCCCTTCCTTCCAATTGGCCGGCTGTGAGAGGGATGTCAAACAGACAGAGCTTGCTTAGAGCCAGCCTCAAAAGAGGAGCTGTCATCGGGACGAGCCTCTCAATCACTCAGGGAACGATGATTGATAGAAAAGGGGAGAGGAGTCTATCAGTGGGATTTGCTCACTGGTGTGTGACAGGCTGGGAGGTGGCTGCCTTTGTCTGCTTTAGCCAGGTCAGGCCCTTTTGTTGGGCCCTTTCACCTCACCAGCACTTCCTACAGGAATCACATTTGGGTAAATTGGCTGGGGGGGGATGCTGAGCAAGCACTCATGTGACCGAGCTTTGCAACTTAAGCCACAGTGCATGGAGCATCTCTCCACCAATCAGACACAAACTACAGGGCAGGGACATCTCTCCACCAATCAGACACAAACCACAAAACAGGGGACATCTCTCCACCAATCAGACGCAAACCACAGGGCAGGGGACATCTCTCCACCAATCAGACACAAGCCACAGGGCAGGGGACATCTCTCCTCCAATGAGACACAAACCACAGAGCAGGGGACATCTCTCCATCAATCAGACACAAATCACAGGGCAGGGGACATGTCTCCACCAATCAGACACAAGCCACAGGGCAGGGGCATCTCTCCACCAATCAGACACAAGCCACAGGGCAGGGGACATGTCTCCACCAATCAGACACAAGCCACAGGGCAGGGGCATCTCTCCACCAATCAGACACAAGCCACAGGGCAGGGGGATCTCTCCACCAATCAGACACAAGCCACAGGGCAGGGGACATCTCTCCACCAGATACAAGGTCAACTTGACTTTATCTTGACAGGATAACTTTTCTTCTAGTTTGAACTACACAGTTAATTCACAAAAAAACAACAAGTTGGATTATCTTGTCTGGATAAGGAGCCGGGCACATCTGTCTGGACCTGCTGGGCTTGTAAATGAGGCACAGAGGCCACTACGTTTGTGTTCTAGACAGCAGAAAAAAACAGGGAGAGGAATGAGAAGTGGGTCTGGAGCTGAAAAGAGTCTACAGGGGCACTAGGCAAAGAGGCTTATAATTGTTACCCATTTATACGGCTGGGTATTTACTGTCACAATTCCGGTTTGGGTATATTACAGCAGAGCATCTCCTGGGAATCGACTTGGAAACATTTGAATTACTAAGCTGTGGCCTTAACCTCTATGCTACCTTATGCCCACTCCTGTTACTCCTAAGGCATGACACCACGTAAGTCGATCCCTTTAATAAGGCCACCTGCTGCACAGATCTCTGCGTGTAGAAACATGGTAACAGGCAGAGAATTCAGTTTGAGCCTTGTGGGGCCTGTGAAGTCAGAAGCTTTTCCAGCGACAGCGATAAGCCAGTTCTAATGAGGGCCAAAGCCCCTTAAAGTGCCGAGCAGAACCCAGAACCCAGAGCAGAAATACAAGTCAAGGGAATATGTGATTCTGGCTGGAGACTGAAGCCATGTTAGTGGAGAGCTGAGAGACATTCCACATGCATAATGACCAACCTGTCATTCATCTGTTTCTTAAAATGACCCTACTACCAAAAATGGCTGTTATTTACTCACAATTGCCAGTTTTGTAGTCTCCCAAAGCAGACATTACTCATCAAAAATGTCCCCCTTCACTGTCAGACCAAAGGCTACAGCCCTGGTACAGCTTTGTTCCTCAGGGTACAAACAACATTACTGTACCCAATGGTACAAAAATGTTCCTGAGAGTCCATTTCTGTAACTTAAGTTGGACTAAAAGGTACCTTTCCCCACCATTAGGGTACAACTCGCAAACAATTGAGGATACAGCCCCAGTGACAAGTAATTTTACCCTCAAAGGTAAAAATAAGTACTTTTTTTGACAGTGGAATCAATAAAGTTTATCTTACCTTACTATCTATAATCCCACTTTTATCTAAACTATAAGCAGTTTGCAGATGAATGAAATGAAATTTGGGGGCAGGGCAGATGAGGTCAGAAGAATGTAGATGGTCCTCATGCTGGAGCTGGAGTTATGCCTCCATTCGCTGGGAAGCTTCACGGCCACCTGGATCTCAGGTGCAGCTGCACAGCTGTGTGCTTTTGAAGAATACAGTGCTATTGTATCACATGTGGAACAGCAAACACTCTGTTAGCATGTTAATCCACAGTCCTCTTATTACTCCTCAGACGGAATTTGTATCTGATGAGTAAAGTAAGATGCCGATGACCTTTATTGGAAGACATCTGGATGTTTCCTTTTATTTCTTGAATATTATTTCCTTTTATTTCTTCAATGTAGATTGATTTTATATTAACAGAATTCATTTGTTAATTTTATTCTCTCTTTAAATAACAGGATTATTACATGGTTGATTAATTGTTGGAAGCACGGAGAAGTATTTCGTTTTTTGTTAGATTTTCATAAGCAAAAATAAATAAATGAACTGACGAACAAGCAGTTATTTAGCCCAAATAAGTACTTAATTACTGATTCAATACGACCTTCCGAACACTCCATTATCCACTAAGGAGCTTGTTTTCTCCCGTTACAGTTTGTGAAGCGCATGCTCTACTGCCCACCTGTGGCGATTTTTGGGACTTATTCTTTGATGAATTTCAGTTGATTGTTAATGTATTTTTTAATAGGATCTGTTTAATCAGTTAGAAGTAGAAACTAATTTCAATGTAGATGGACTAATATTTAAATTTTAACGTAGAACATTTGTCTCACGTTACCTTTTAAAAATATAAAGGCAAAAATTAGTAATGAAATGTCCCCTTATCTGTAAAAACCTTTCTATCAATTAAATCAAGCAAATCAGAACATGTAGCGAACAAAAAGGCCAGATGATTTTAAATGGTCGTGGAAGAAATTTAAAATGCTTTCATCGCTCTCCACATGCCTAATGGGTAGTAGAATAAATGATAAGTTGTTTTACTGAAAAACTCTATTGTACAAAATGTAACCTAATGGATCGTGATTTGGCATTTTAATGTCAAAACTTTCCCGTTTGTAATAAGTGAGTGTTGTTCATTAGCTGTCATTTTTTGATAGGTAAAACCTGATATTCAACTGCACGTCATCTTTTTAGCACTAGTAAGTAGTATGTGGTTCCTACAATAACATCTACCTTGACCATCAACACAGCAGGATCTGTGTGCTGCCATTTGCAGACATCTCATTTTTAATATCCTGAACACTACACTATCTATAACGTGATAGCAATGCCTCTACACTCTTTCAGGGACTCAAGTCTTACATAGATGAGTGTAATTCACATTATTGCGGGTCTCTAGCGGTGAACAGCAGCATTGGAAAACGTAAACAATTCGCTCGCACGCACAGGTTTAAAAAGCCCTTCCCCCTTAATATCTATTTTTTTACTATTTGATCCATTGCTTCATTGGTTAATTTTTATGTTCATCACAAAATTTCTGATCAGATGGTGTCAAAACTAAGAAGTCATTGGCTACAGGGAAAATGCAAACCCTTCAAAGATTGTGATTGGTGGAAAAAGTAGGTTAGTGGTGCGGCAGTTATCATGGAAGGGGAAAAAAAAGTAGGTCATTATATTGCTGCAGTTGGTCACTAGTCCTGTTAGACGCTTCCCACGTGTTTCATATTGTCTCCATGTGAGTACTGCGCTTTATTTTTTAACGTTGAGAATAAAGTATTGGCATCCGATCTAAAACAGGAAGCGTTTAATCACGTCAGATGTTTTCTTTGGCACTGGCTCGCCGCAGAGAAAGGTACTTACTGTCCTGCTTTCTGCTAGGGGCGGTGTGGGCAGAGCCGCCTGGATAACTTTTAAAGAAATATGATGCGATTTCGTAGAGACGCGCAAGTGTCTCGTACTGTAGCGATCATAGCTGTACTTAGAAACAATATAGGATTGGATAGAGATAAAAAATATTAATTGCACGTATATTTCACAGGTATATTTAAACCGGTTGAATTTTTATGGAGTTTAAATGTTGCGTCAAAAATCAAAGAAAGCAACTTCTTTACATTTACGCGTAATTTAACGAGAAATTGCTTTTGCAGTTATAGTACTTTTATGATATGTGAAATTTTGGAACAGCAGTGTTTAGTTTATCTTGTGTCTTTCATTCGTTTATTATTTTATTATTGTCTGGAAATTAATTTTCGTCGGCCTCCACGGCAGCGATTCGCGATGGGCCGTTTAGCACATAGTGAACATTAGACATTACATGCGCTACACGTTTTGGTGCAGATACAGTTGTCGCTTGCCGTCCACAGCGGATAAATGTAGCCGTGCATGTGCTTAACTTTTATTATAGATAGACACGACGATGTTGAAGGTTCACCTCTTCTGCTGGTGGAAAATGTCAAATTCTCTTATTAACGTGAATCACATTACAGTACCTGCCTGTTATTTAAACAAATGTTCAAGTGTGTCATACTGAAGAATAATAGCCATCTTTCGGTTCCTCTATCAGACAGTAAATATTTTGTATACGTAATTAATATAAAACATTACTTATCTAGTTCAATTTGAAATATGAAAATCAGGAGAATTATAATACTCGTGATTAATAATCACCCGATCCTCCTGGAAGAAATGATTGTCACATATGCTCTCTTGAATTAACGCCAAAACTCTTGCTGGGTACTTGGAGGACACCCAAAATGTTTCCATTTATAACAAATCAGTTAGAGCCTTCCAGTATGTTCTGTTGAATGCCAGTAATGCCGCCTGCAATTACTGCTTATGAGGATTCTAACTCGATTTTATAATATCGTACAAAAATGTAATGAATCCTGTCCCGTACTCGTATCTCAGGGTCCTCTATAAATCATTGAGGTAGATTATATATGTTTGCCTCTGTCAAGGTAAGCGGTTCAGGTTTGCTCCTGGTAGATTTTAACTATTTTACTTAAATTAGATGCCGACGATTGGTGTGGTGGGACTGCCGTTGGGTATCAGGACTTTCCAAGTAGAATTTTCCTTTATGTGATTATGGGAATTAAGTTGCATATGTCTGATATTCTGTAGCCGGGGGTGTTTTTGATTTAAACCTCCCCATGCATCTGAGCAGTGTCCCGTTTTTGGGTCTGGGCACTGCCAGCTCCCCCAGCGCTTCCTGTGCTGTTAGTCACTATCTCCACCGGAGGCTCCTCTGCATCTACATTTTCAGCACAGTCACATACGCTGAGAAGAGGCCCAACATCGAGAAGCAAAAGAGCAGCCTTGGTTGTTTTTTTTAATTATTATTATTATTATTATTATTATTATTATTTTGGTGGTGGTGGGGGGTGAAGTTATTTAAATATCTCCACAAGCTTAATGTTGTCCCCCCAGCAATTCGTTTGATGGACTAGGATCTTCAGGGAAGAACGATAACATAAGCATACTCGCGTTTGAATGTTCTTTACGCTCAGACTGAAGAATGATACAACAGATGAAGAAGGAAATAAGAGCAGTAGAAGAGTTATGGGGCATAATCTAATGCGTTTCATCTACTGGGTTTGCATTAGAAATACATTCTGTACTGTAGGGAAACGCAGCAAAAAAATCATCATAAGCAAAGCACAGGAGTTTATACCGGCTCCATTTGGTCCTCATCCTGCTCTCAGGTGTGAAAGAGAGGGCATTGGCATGACGACACAATTTACAACTTGCTGCCGAGCCAGACGTGAAGTCCCCGCATTTCAGGACGTTTTTTTATGGTTGTCCAATTAAACAGGGAGCTGGAACATTATATTCCTTTGCTGTGTTCCGCTGAAACAGATTTGTGGAATGTTATTTGATTTTGATGGAGGAGTGTAGATTTGAGAGTCTTGTTGGATGTGATAACAGGTGTAGGGTTGGGATCTTAGAATGGGCTGCCCATCCTCATTACTGAAGGACAAAAGCATTGATTTTGCTCATTTGTTCTTGATTACAGGATAAGTTCATTTTCACTTCTCCTGATTGCAACAATGGCTGGCTGTTACCATTGCTTTCATTTAAACTGGCTTATTTTATGTGTGTAGGTTTATTTCATGTGTTAATGTTTAGGGTTGTCCTCAGGTGTTCACAATAACCGTTGCTTATCTGGTTCCTTGATGTGTATTATGGTCTATCTATCATGCTGCTTTGATGGCAACAGTGAATGTGTCAGTGTGCATGTGATGGAGACTTTCTGTTCTTCTTGTTCTGTATTTCCTTAATGACCAGGTATTTTTCGGTCTTATCCCCTGCTTGGGGATTCCGATATTCTGACTCTGACAGAATAAAATATTAAGTTGTCATGGTGCTTGCAATTTGTTGTATTTTTAAAGTCAATCACTTTTGTGAGCTACCCTGTAAGAGAAAGGATACAAGTACTGTTTAGTGTAATCCTGCCAGTACTCTGTAACTGAGATATGTGAATTGTCTCCTCTCATTTTGTCGACAGTGGTTTGGCAGAAGGTAGGTTGCAGCCATGGGGGTGTCTGGGGTTATAAGCAGCCTGGCCGGGTGCAGATCAGTTACCAGTTATAAAGAAAATTGGCGGCACCATCAAAAAATGGGTCTTTGCGTGTTGGGAGTTTGGCTGCAGCGGGATGCTGTCATTAATCCTGCCGCTTGGACCAGTCGGAAAGGGGTGTGAGAAATGGTGCCCGGCGTTTTAATCCGATGACTCCTGAGTCTTCCGTAAGCAGTTTGCCAACCTGCCGGAATCTCAAGCAACCAGAAGTCCCTCCTGATGCCTCCCTGCACCTGTTTTCCACACTATCAGCTCGCCGCCCTTCTGTCTGACGGCTTCCATCCTGATTCTCGGTGGCAGACTTACGCTCCACGTAATCGCTGCTCCTATCGGCGTGTGGCTCAGCAGGTCAGGGTGCTTTGCCTATGATCGGAAGGTCGCTAGTTCGAATCTCATGCTTGGCAGAGTGATGTCACCGTTGGGCCCCTGAACAAGGGCCTTAACCCTGAATTGTTCCAGGGACTGTCTGACCCCGCTTTCTAAAGAAAATAATATACCCTGCCTGGCCAAAATAGTCACCATTTGAATTTAAATCGGCAAGTACTTAAAAGCCAAGATTCATCAAGCTTGAGTTGTTTAAGAGTGGTTCAGGGAGCATGAGGAATCGTTTTCACACATGAATTGGCCACCATAGAGTCTTGACCTTAACCACACTGAAAGTCTTTGAGATGCTGAAGAAGACTTTACAGAGTGGTTCAACTTGCCTATCATCAATATAAGATCTTGACCAAAAATGAATGCAAATCTGGATGAAAAAAAAAGGTTGTTGTATAAGCACGTCGAAACAATTTATTGACTATAATCAAAGCAAAATGCAGTCCAAGAAATATTAAAGTGTGCAACTTATATAAATATAATGTACATATACCTTTTTAAATTCACTTAGATAAATGGCTGCTATGTCCTTTGTTCAACACAGATGTTTTTGGATAAATCAGGATCGTTAGTCATGGTCCTCTGTTCTGGCCATGTTTCTGGTATACATGGGCCAATCCAAATTTTTTAACTAGTCAATTCAGATTAAAAGATGTACCGATTTCGCAAAACAGCCAGAGGTAGGGACCCCCAAATCATCCATTGTTTTTTCATATTACTCAGGTTGTCTCACACAATTGCGTGCTCTTTGTTTAGTGGGTTTTTGCACTAAACGGTACTCCCACCTCTCAAAACTTTGTTTTTACAAATCACTGTGATACTAGTTGCTGTTAAAAGTGTACAATGCTTCCACCCTCTTATCTGATGTTCTTACGCTCCTCCTACTTCGAAGGGTATTTTCATGACGTCACAGCAGGCAGACGTCACTGCGCTCACACCAACTGAGTGGCGGAAAAACCAGCGTTAGCGTTCAGCCTGAATGCTGCAAAAAACATCTAAAATGCGACGGAGCGGTCGTACGATTGATTGTACAAATAGATTTAACACGAAATAGGAGCTGCTTTTTTAGAGACTTATTTAGTAAGTAGGTATCGGGCGTGGATCGGTCACGTATGGCCAACACCCAATCCGTCAAATACGTCTGGATCAGCGCTGATACCGATCCAAATATCGGATTGGCGCATCTCTAGTTCCTGGTTTCTGTTCTGCTTAAACGTCACATTTTTTTTATTAGACTGGACTAAATTTAAGGGTAAATGCTTGCAGACATTGTGTGCTGTGTATTTATTTAAATGCAGAAATACAGCAGGAGAAGGGTCACCTTCAACAACGAGGGCTTAGCTTCTTATTGCACATGTCAGCCCCCTGCCCATCTCCCTTCCCCATATAATGTTAGGGTGGAAGCAGAAGGGTCTGCTTCTCTCTTAGTGCAGATGCTAGATGCACACTCTGGATATATATATTTTTTCATGTCAGTCAGCACTGTCATGTTTACGTTGTGCGGATTTCTGTGGTGAGATGCTGAGTCGGTGGAATATGCAGCAGATGTTTACACAAATGACACGTTTATTAACAGCATGATGTATAGAAAACCCAGTGTAAAACTTACCATTCTGTATGGCAAAAATATTTTTTTTTAGTATAAATAGAATGCCTAAAGTCATACATGAACTGCAATATGCCATTCCCAACTGGAAATTTTTCCTGGGTGTTGACACTTTTAATACTGGTTTTAATCTTTCATACTGTTTATTGGACTCAGTTGTTGGGTTGCTGTGTAGTGCGATAACTTGTGTTTTCTAAAATGTAGCTGGTGAACTTGATCATTTCTATAATATCTGCTTGCAGTCGTTTATTTTAGGGATATTTGAGTGGCAGCAGTTTTTTTTGGCTGGCTTCTGCTTTTTCTGTTATGTTTGCTTTTTTTAATGTCGTCCCATGTTCACGTTGTTAGAAACACTGTGGAACGCCGGGTGTCTGCACTCCCTCCATCACTAACGATAACGGCAGCATCTCCAGCTTTTACTCATTGCTGTGCCAGTTTTAGCGACCGGCTAGGGTGAGAATTCACGTTTTCACGTTATTTATTTATATAGTGTCTGCTGTCTTTTTATAGCTCTTTCTGTTTAGTGACATTTGTGGTGTTGGGATGATGGATGAACATAATCGCACATGTACTGGATAGCAGCTGGTGCTGTATATACACTGAATGTAGTGGCCTGCCTTCCACATCCATCAATCCATCCATCCATTATTCAACCTCAGGACCATTATAGCTGACCTGTCAGACCCAGATTATCTTGCAATTGGCCCTATTAACCGAGGTTAAAGTGTCAGTCATTCACAGGGAGAGGACATTAAACTCATACCACCAACTGAAATTAAAATGACGAACCTTCATTTTGGGATTATCCAGTGATTGGTAAGCTGCTGCACTTGAGAAGGAATTAATGATTTAAGCAGAGAATAAATGGGTAATTTAAAAAAAAGTGTAATTTTGAGTTTTGCTGACTCTTTAAGATCTTCTAGCGAACAGGCTGATTCAGCTGACCTACTTTCTGCTGACCCTGATTCTCTGGCTTTCTCTCTCTGCAGAAGTGTGGATGTTAAGTAGCCTCTCTCTCGCTCTCTCTCTCTCTCTCTCTCTCTCTCTCTCTCTCTCTCTCTCTCTGCAGAAGTGTGGATGTTAAGTAGCCTCTCTCTCTCTCGCTCTCTCTGCAAAAGTGTGGATGTTAAGTAGCCTCTCTCTCTCTCTCTCTCTCTGAAATTTGTTGCCATGGATAGGAGCTGACACCCTGCATTTACAAAGGCACTGTAAAAATGAATATACATTCTGCAGTAACCCTGCTCATTGGTTTTGCTTTGGTCTTTGAGTTGACTAGTAAACTCACTTGGTATGTGGGCTGCTAGAGGAGAGCTTTGTGTGGTGCTACTAGTTGTGTGGAGTTTACTGTGGTTACAGTGGTACATAATTCACTGATGCTGTGGCTGAATCTCCCCTCATGAGTTAGCAGTAATTATGTTAATAGCCAACAACAAAGAAATGTCTGTTTTAATTGAACTACAATGCATTGTGATTTAATTTTAAGTTATCTTGGTTATTTTTATTTTGTCCCCAATGTATAATGGTGATGTTCTGTATTTATGTGAAAATGACCTCTTTCTTGGGGCTCAGTGTATAGCAACAGAAAGACACATGCTTGACAAGTAAATGAAACGTTTTATTTATTAAATGTGGGGGAGGGGGTGAAAAACAGTGACAGACTGTGATGCATGTATTCTAAGGCCAAAGAAATTTAATGTATACATAAGAGAAAAGTAACAAATGAAGATCCGGGAAAATAATGTGTAGAAGTCTGTCATCCATTATCTTACTGTGTAAAACATTGTGGTGACTAAGCTAACCCTACGAGTTGTGTTTGAGAGGCCAGACAGGCTGTATAGTTTACGCCCGTTTGTTTGATAGGTGATATGGGTGAGTCTGTTGCGATGTTATGGAAGGCTGAGGTGGAGCGTGACGCCCTCTGATTCTATGTGGCTCTGGATGAGACGGGGGGAGAGTCTGCCGTGTTGGGTTAAGAACATGAGGATCTGTGTGATACAAATCAGGAAATGCCACTCGGGCTTGTTTATTTGGTTGGTAACACTTTATTTGATGGGGCACAAGTAACTTAGTAGCACAGTTACTAAAAATCATGAGCAAATATAGTAACTGACTGAAATACATGAACTGTTATGATTCATTAATGATGAACAAGCATGGGATCAGTATATAACTAACACTTAGTTACTGGTTAATTAATACATTAAGTAAGAGTGTACTACTACATTATTTATTCTCCCGCAATCCAAGTGTTACTGTGCGGTTAGTTAAAATTCATCCACCATTTTGATGTTCAAAATTTGTCAGAATCCTTTTATTCTCCAAGTACAAAAAATGACAAGGATTTTGTTTTGGTGTCAGTGCTGGCATGAAGTATACGGATATGAATTACAGTATATCTTGAATATGAAGTTCATCTTGTGCCAGCAGGAATGAACTTGGGGGGGTTTTGGAGCTGAGTGCTAACCCCTGCAGAACCGCTGTGTTCACTTGTATTCTGCTGGTGGGGAGGGCTTCTTTAGGGCTCTGGTCAGGAGGGTTAGGCCTGTGCTGCAGCCAGGGTAGGGAGAGCAGAGGGGGCCGCTCATATCAACCCATTGGCAACAAGAGACCAGTGCTGCTTTTCCCAGTCATTTTTAACATACTAAAGCTAACTTCTGCTAAAGTGGTGCATTCCGATACTGTCACGCAAAACAGGAGTAAACGATAACAAAATGACAAAATATACAAACTAGCTAGATCTCAGAGCAAAATATTCAGGCCATACATTGTTCATTTTGACTGAAACTGGGCAAATACCTTTTGAAACAAATAATTGGATCTGTGTGCTTAAGATGAATAGTGTTGTGCAAAACATCTGTCCGTTACTTGGTAACGACTATGTTTAACCAGTTGTGGAATGTTCACAGACTTATACAGAGTATTTATATGGTTACAACGGCTTTCCCTTTGGTTTCTTGAAGTGTGTATATATATACTGCCCAATCATTTGAAATGTTCCTTGTTTTCTTGTTGGGCAAAGAGTCCACAAAAACCTTGAGAATGAAGTCAGCTGGGAAATTTTGGAAGTAGATCAAGTTTTCAGTTGTCTAGTTTGATCCGCTGTCTGAGCTGATCACCTTTGGGGTGTTTGTTCCTGGGCACACAGATTCAACATTGTATTTTTCATTCACAATACCTGTATAATTCGCTGAGCTGGATTTTAACATTTTCGGAGCTGGCTTTGCCACTGTGCCTTCGGTGTAATCAGCATTGCCTAAATAAATGTCACCTCACATTTTAAAACAGTTACCGGGTATTTTTTTGGAGAGGGGTTCTTTACTATTAAAAGGCAATGATGGGCTCTAGCCTGCGTGGGAAGGAAGACGTTGACAATGGACAATGGAGAAGCTAATTACTCTGAGGAGATGTTTGGATGCTGGAGTGCTCCCGGTCTGGCTTGATTAATGAAATGTGGATGTTCTGGACGCTGAAGCGGCTGTGCTTTTAAAAGACCCTTCTTGAGATTTAGCAGTTCTGCTTGGTCCAGATATGTAAGGCACCAAGTGGCTGCTTAAAAGAACCTTTCTTTAGCCTGGGACACTTGCCTTGTGGTGGTAAGAACACTCCTCGCATGGGTTTATGGTAAAGCAACAAACCTGGAATGCAGTTGAGTGTGGGGGGATTGGGGGTTGCAGATGTTTAGGATATGTATAACAATAACGAGAATGTGTGTTTGTGGAATGTGCTGTTTAGCTCATAAATGTCACTCAGTATGCAGGAAAATTTGCCCAAGATAAATGATCTTTCCATTTTTTTTTTTTTTTACTTAAAACCCAACCAAAAATGCAGAAAGAGCCCTTTGAATATGAGTTGTACTGGTGGTTGTAATGCACTTGTCATTTTGTTGTGTTTGTTTCTTTATCATTAAATTAAGGCACTTGTGGTTTGGCTCATTGTCCTGTCAAGGCTGTAAATAAGGTTAATTCTATGCAGGTGATGCATAATATGGTCACGCTACTTTTAGCAGGAATGGTCAGCCTGATTTAATAATACAAATTTTTTAATTATATTTTTTCAAAAGCTAGAATATAGGTGTTAATTCCATCACTTTAACATAGTGAATCTATCACTGCCTTAGGAAACTGATTCTTTTTCTTCAAAAATGCATTTCATTGCATGGATCCTTTGACCTGTACTATTTGCATATTTCCCTTTCAGAAAAGATCAGCTTGAGAAATGGAGTGAATTTTAAGAAGGGAAACCTATGTGAACAATTGAAGTAAGTATCCTGAGATCTAACTGACTCATAATAAATCTGTAGCTTGGTTTGTTGCGTTTGTAATGTAAGGTACACCGCCTGGCCAAAAACAGCTGCACACTTTAATATTTCGTTGGACCACCTTCAGCTGAGATTATGGTGCACATCCACGAATGCATTGTTTCCATGTGCTTATGCAGCTTCTCAACATTTTTTTTCATCCAGATTTGCATTCATTTCTGGTTGAGATCTTGTATTGATGATAGGCGAGTTGAACCACTCTGTAAAGTCGTCTTCGGCACATCTCAAAGACTTTCAGTGGGGTTAAGGTCAAGACGCTGTGGTGACCAAATCATGTGTGAAAATGATTCCTCATGCTCCCTGAAGCACTCTTAAACAATTCGAGCCTGACGAATCTTGGCATTATCATCCTGGAATATGCCCATGCCATTAGGAAAGAAATAAATCCATTGATGGGATAACCTGGCCATTCAGTAGATCCAAGTACTCAGCTGACTTCACTTTATTGCTGCATAATGTTGCAATAATGATCCAATCATTATTACTATAATTATAAATACTTGCTGATTTAAATTCAAGCACACTGCTTTTTTTTCTCCAGTCGGTGTATTTAATATGTTTACTCTGTTTTGTTTCTTCTGTTGTGGGAGAACATTATAATGACTATTTGCATGTGCAAGTAGAGATGTCCCGATCCACTTTTTTGGTACCCCTTTCCGATCTGATCCAGTCAGTATTTATATCGGCTGATTTTGATCCAGTCTTTTAATAAATGTTTAAATGTACATAGGCTACACATACAGTAGGCGTTGGTACATTCTTAGTCTGACAAAGCTTTGCGATTTCTCAGTGTTCTTCCTTATGATGTTTCTGCAAGTGCCTAATTAGATTTGTTGTATTAAGCGATGCTCTTTTGCTGCTTCCACTCGAAAGGATGACTTTGCAAACACTGCAGGTAGCTGTTGGGCTACTTTGAGCTTCCAATTAAAAGAATTTCCACACAGTTGACATCTCAATGGCTTGAAGTTTCAAGCCGTGTGCCTCAGGCTTACCGCAGTGTGTGATGGAACCTTACAATCTGCACATATTAGGCAGATGTGGGAAAGTAAATGGATCGGGCCGTCGTAGCCAGTACTGATCAATTAAACAACGTCTAGATCAGCATGGATTCCAGTCTTTGATATCAGCTTAGGATGTCATTGGTCGCGAAACCTCATTGCCATTTCTCAGCATGCGAAGCGCCCATATATGGCTTATCTTCAAAGTCAGATACATGCATATCTCTGTGCTGTAGATAATCCAATGGCAGACCAAAGAATGGACGTTTCCTCCACAATGAACGAGTTCATGCCCGCTGGCCGCACCGACCTAATCAGCAGCTCCGTCAGTACGGCTGGCCTGGACTTCACCCGCAAGAGGAAGGGCAGCTCTGCTGACCATCAGTAGGCCCAGCTCAACCCTCATCTGTTCTTGAAAACACAGTTTTCTCAGTGGATCACTGAGTCTTTGATGTTCATACTGCAGCTTTTTTTTCAGAAAGCACAAAGTGTTTGAAGATTATGTACAAGGCCTCATAAGTTTACAGACTGTGTAATGAATATTGTTTTGTTTTTGCAGAATCGATGGATTTTCTTTTGAGTAAGTAAAAAAAAATGTGCAAAATTCTTAATCCAGTTGGTTACTGGTGATTAAAGAGAATCTGAAAAAGTGTCTTCGTTTAGTTGAATACCACCCTAACCCTTCACACTGTTTTATTTGATATTGTGTTATTAGACACTTTAATCTGAGTAAGCAATACAGTTCACATCTTGGAAAAATTTTAATTGAAATATCTCAAAACACTTATAATGATTCCGATTTTTAAGGTCTTAAGTCCTTTTTCTGTTCTAATTTTGAATTAGGCACATTGGATTAAGAAAGTATTAAAAAAAACTTACAAATTTTTAATTTACTAATAGTTACTTGCTTGATTGCTCCATCTCTGATTTAGAAAATGTTAAGTAGCCTTTGTATGCCTTGCAAACAATCTGTATGTTTGCTTCTTTTATAGGGATACCATGGACATGGAGACGGAAAAAGAGCTTGTAAGGTAAAGTCCTCCAAATGTTTGTGGTAATTGGCTTTTATGTAAAGAGGCCCTATTATGCTCATTTTCATCATTTTATTTTTGGGGGTCTACTAGAACAGATTTACATGATTCGGTTTTCCAAAAGCACATTTTTATTCTCATACTGTACATCTCTATTCACTCTGTTTATAACTCTCTGAAACGCTCTGTTTGAGCTTTAAGCCCCACCCCTGATAAGCCCAGTGCGCTCTGAGTAGGTCTGCTTGCCTGATTGGTCCACTTGCTCAAATCAGTAACTAAGAAAGTTGCCGTGCAGGCTGCAGGTCGTTTGAGGGTGGGCCAGTCTTGCAGGTAGGCAGCCAGTAAGGATTGTGTTACGAGGTGACCTCACCATGTCACGGAAGTAAGGGCTGGAATTCATATGAGGCATTTCAGGCAGAGTAGAGAAGAGTTTCTGTGGTGAGAGTTACTCCCTTTGGAGTGTACTTTGGGCCTTAAGACTTTGCAGGCAGTTTATATGCACTGGAAAAGAAAAGGAAAAACCCGGAAAAGCATTAACATTTCAGGTATTGTCATAAAGGCACCTTATTTGCATACTGCATATATGTGGAAGTAGAAGTTCAGTGGCTCAGTCAGATGTTATTTCCCTCCCCTCCTTCTTCCTCCTAGGGAGTGTATGGATCAGCAAGGCCGCCTGAAGAACGCCAGGTACCCTCCGTTATGAAGCGGTTGTCACAGTAAAGCTGTGGGTGAACTTGCTCTCCCTACATACTATTCAAAGTGGCGTCCTATAGGAGAGCCATGTTGTCACCTTTGCACCCTGTCAATATTCTGAGAAATATTTCGCCGTTCTCTTGCATGCCAGTAGGATATAGATGCAGAAGAGTCTGGTTCCTGCCTTTCCAAGGTTCTTCTCTCTGTGGTTTTTGCGCTGAAGGGAAGCCCACAGCCAGATCGAGAAGAGGCGTCGGGACAAGATGAACAGCTTCATTGACGAGTTGGCGTCCCTGGTGCCCACCTGCAACGCCATGTTCCGCAAGCTGGACAAGCTGACGGTGCTGCGCATGGCCGTCCAGCACATGAAGACGCTACGCGGTGAGGGTCCGCTTCTCAGCTCCAGAGAGACCTGCACAGCCGTGATGGATTCAGTCAGCTGAAAGAAGCAACTGTAGATGCTCATCCATCTTCTAACGGGGTTGTTAGGGCAGCTGGAGCCTATTTCAGGAAGCACAGGGCAGTGCGACTCCCTAAAAGGGAATGACAACTGTAGACGTATTAAGTTTATACTGTATGGAGGAAGTAATTCTGGTTACTGTTAATTTGCATGCTGTATGTTCTAAAGATAAATTGTGTTTTTGTCTGAGCACATATACACCTACTACTCAGATAAATAACGGTAAAGATTTCCTTTGACTGCCTAAGATTTGCACTGTACTGCATGTGATAATATTTTGCCTCTAAATGTATGAAGATCAGAGTATTAATGCTCTGTTTTCCCTCCACAGGGACTGCAAACCCCTACACTGAGGCAAACTACAAACCCGCATTCCTCTCGGACGATGAACTGAAGCACTTAATTTTGAGGGTAGGGGCTCTCTTGCCCACCGTGTGGGTGCATTAGCCAGACCCGAGATGCGGATTTTCATAAACGTCGCTGTCTTCGATCCTCCCGCAGGCCGCCGATGGCTTTCTGTTCGTCGTCGGCTGCGATCGCGGCAAGATCCTCTTCGTATCCGAATCCGTCTCCAAGATCTTAAACTACAACCAAGTAAGCCTGCCGCCCCCGGCACACGGAAGCCACTGGGGATGTTTTCTCAGTCAGGTTGGGTCTCGGGATTTGGAGCTGTTTGCGTATCAGCATTTCATTCATGTAGCTGAAGTCTTTTTTTTGTTTTTAGCTGCTCACGATGCATTATGTTCAGAACGGTTTCAATCCCACAGCACCTGCATGCTTCCTCTCAAAGTCCAAAGAAAGGTAGTTAGAACGTGAGTGTATGTGTCTTGTGAGGGACGGGGATCCTGTCCAGTGTGCAAGCTGTGGATGGAACGGAGTTCAGTAAAGCTAGAAGAACGCTTAGCGGTGATCACTTTGTGCACCGTATATAGATGCACTGCATGCTCCTTACCTCTTCCTCCTCATGTTTACTTTTCAGAATGACCTCATTGGCCAGAGTCTGTTTGACTACCTGCACCCGAAAGACATAGCCAAGGTGAAGGAGCAGCTGTCCTCGTCAGACACCGCACCGAGGGAAAGACTCATAGATGCCAAAAGTAAAGTGTTCCGGCTTCTTGGAATACAATGTCTTCTCTAGACAGCAAGGTCAGCAGAGTGCTGAATCCAGGACATCCTCTTTTTCCAGTCGGGAGGTTAGAATTGCTTATGAACCATCAGCAGGGGCTCTTATTGCTGACCTGGAAATTCCTGTCTCACACACTTATGTGCAATTAAGAAAATCAAAGGGAAAGTAGTTGCAGTCTCTGTGTGTATGTATAGCCTATAAGGGCATCCATTTTTCCCCCAGTTATCTCAACAAGGTTTATACACTTAATAGATGGAGGGCCGGTGTGAGTTTTTGGGATGACCTTACAATCAGCCAAAAATAAAGCAGTGGTTCTGAACTCCAGTCCTGGGGACCCACTGTTATTGGCTGATTGAGAGGCCACCCCAAAAAGCCACACCCACACCAGCCCTCTGTGGAACAGGTTCCCCACCCCTGTTAGATGATTAACTGTAGGTCTGTTAAACTGGGGAAAAATCATTCCCAAGAGAAAAGACATTGTGTGGATCAATTTATTGACTGTTGATCTAGATTAATCCTGGGTGTCCCATTTCGTAGCTGGCCTTCCGGTGAAGACCGACATCGCCCTTGGGCCTTCCAGACTGTGTTCTGGGGCAAGGCGGTCCTTCTTCTGCAGAATGAAGTGCAACCGTCCTTCTGTGAAGATGGAGGACAAGGAGTTCCCCTCCACCTGCTCCAAAAAGAAAGGTGAACCATCTGTGTACTTATCTCTGCTATTGCAGCTTAGTCACCCTCAGCCTGGTTGGGTTCCCTTAGCTAGCGGCTCTGGAAGGTTCCGGTATATGAGTGAAGCATCTACTGTTAGTGATTCATTCTTATGTAATAGGAGGGAATTAATTGCATTCAGTAGGCCGATAAAAATACTGCATTTTGTGTTGAGTGTAAAAAAAGGGTGTTAAGATCCAGCTTTGTATAAATAAGTTTTTGAATAGCATTTTAATCATTTAAAAAAATCAGATTTCACATTTCTACATTTCCATGCACATACAAATATCTGCAGACTGATTTTTGTTTTCCCCGTATAAGATTTTACAACTGCTCGTCAGTATTTTAAATATAAATCTGTGTAGTATTCATATATTGTCAAACAGTAATTTTCAAAGACAAAATTCCTCAAAATTCCTGGAAAAATGTTTTTTTTCCAGCCTGTTTTTTTCAGGGTTTTTTTTCATGGACACACACACAAACACACACAAACACGTTGCACAACCATCATAAATGACACATAACTGGAGCCAAGAATAGACTTCTGAAGTATGTAAGAAATTATTTTCCTAGCTAACTTTAGTGAGGAAAAAAAATGACTGAGATGATTGTTTTGCTGGGAGATGGATGGGGTTAGGGGTTATTTTGTTGTAGGTATAACTGCTTTGCTTATGTGAATGGACATACTGATTATTTTAATGAAAACTTAAAAACACAAAACACAATCAGCACCTTGGACAAAAGAATGTATGTTCTAACAAAGCAAAACTCTCCCTCTGTGGTGTGTGCGTGTGTTTTCTGGAATTGCAGCAGACCGCAAGAGCTTCTGCACAATCCACAGCACCGGCTACCTTAAGAGCTGGCCGCCCACGAAGATTGGCCTGGACGAGGACGGCGAGCCGGACAACGAGGGCTGCAACCTCAGCTGTCTGGTAGCCATCGGCCGCCTGCACCCCCACCTCATCCCCCAGCCCACGAGTGAGGACATCCGCGTCAAGCCCACCGAGTACATCTCCCGGCACGCCATCGACGGCAAGTTTGTCTTCGTGGATCAGAGGTGGGCTATTTTATTACCCTTCTCCCAAAGAAGACTTCTGAGAAAGCCATTGAAGGCTCATGGCACTTAAGTCAGCTGCTTAAACATGCATGCACAAAGAGAAGGATTTAAAACATAAATATATACCCTTTTGTCTTTAGAATCCATGACCCTACGCCTCAGCCTAATCGAAAGGCTCCGTAACCTCTGCAGATAATCTTGGCATGTCAGAATAGGCCTGCAGCTAGTGTGAGAGAGGTGCTGAGTCTTATTTTCGAGGCCTAGGGGGGCGGATGAAAATTAAGAATGTCTTAAGATATCTCTACACCCACATCCCCACATGCTCGCAGAGAGCAGTGCCGTATCGTGCGGTGCTGCCTCCGGCCTGCCTTAATTCTGCTTTTTAATTAATTGTAAATAGTTCAGCAGGAATTATACATTGTGGGCTGTTACCATTCCATGCAGCTAATTATTTGCAGAAGCTATTACTGCTTAAAAATAATCAGGTTTTTAAAAATGGCCCATGGACCTTTAGTCTTGCATATAAATGTGCTAGTTTCATTATGTACTTGTGTTATGTGAATGGAAAAAGTCTCCCTTCTGATGCTTTTGGTTCTATTCCAGGGCCACTGCTATTCTTGGCTATTTACCCCAAGAGCTTCTGGGCACATCTTTCTATGAATATTTCTATCAAGATGATATTGGGCACCTTGCAGACTGCCATAGACAAGGTATCTGGCCAGCATGACTTGCATGGCTAGCAAGACGGCTAATGTCACTCTATTGCCTAGTGCATTAATTAAGCTTTGTTTGATTTTTGCTGATTGTTTCAGTAGTTCTTTATCCTCGTATACAGAGAATTATGGTCTGCCCACATTAGATACCTTTAACCCTAATGCATTTTAATGCAGTGTTTCCCAGCCCGGTCCTTGGGGACTGACAGACAGTCCACATTTTTCCTCCTAACCCGGAGCTGGGACTCACTGCCATAATGAATTAAGAGCATAGTCGTCTGGCTTTTATGATGTGCTGAACTCTTGTGCATCTCTGTCTTTTCAGTGCTGCAAATGCATGAGAAGATCCACACAAATTGCTACAAGTTCAAGATAAAAGACGGTTCCTTCATCAACCTGAGAAGCCGCTGGTTCAGCTTCATGAACCCCTGGACCAAAGAAGTGGAATACATTGTTTCTACAAACACTATTGTCTCGTAAGCGTCCCAGATTCCCACTGTTGTTCCTAGATGCCTGTCAGTAGCTACCTCTGGTCACACTCGTGTGCAATGAGTAATTATTGTTATAAATGTTCCTTCTACCTACTGAAGCGAACTCTCTAGGGTTGTTATTTTCCATCGATGTGTATAAACAGAACTTACTGCTGTGATGCCAGATGTTATATGGTAGATGTTTTACATTAGATGCTATAGTGCAATGAGGATTAACTGTGATGGAAAATCATTCTGCTTCTGCAGAGGTACAAGTGACTTCACAGACTATTCTCAGCTTTCTGCCTCCCCCCAGAGTATGGATGGTGTACTAACACCCAGAGATGGTAAGGCTTTCATCTGTCCTCCCCTATTGAATATCTACTCATGCAAACCAGGCACATTACCTTGTCGGCACTCAAAACTGGAGCTTAATCTGGTGACAGAAGGAAATTTCTAATGACTGTATGGACTGACACTGCGCCGGCATCAGTGTGATTTCAACCTGTCCATATGAGGCGAGATTGTTGGTATTGTTTCAGATAAGCTGCTAGATCTTTATAGATTCATGTCAGCACTTTTGCCAGCTGCCACAATGAGTGGTGCTCATGCGCATTCTGCTTTTGGCGGCAGGCATGGGGAAGCGGGCGCTTCAGACGGTACCTGGCATCGGCGGTGGCACGCGGCCAGGGGCAGGGAAGATCGGACGCATGATTGCAGAAGAGGTGATGGAGATCCAGAGGTAAGTGAATTAATACTAAAATGGTGTGGACATCTTAAATTGCTCAAAGAGGATAGTAATTTAATTCACAAGGTGACAGTACAATTTCCAGGGATACTTAACAAGTGAAGAGAGACCCATCCATCCTTCCATTTGACCCAAGTACTTGTGCTTGTACTATTCAGGGGAGGGTCCAGAGCCTATGGGTATAATGCAGGGGGCAACCCAGGTTGGGGCACCAATCCATCACTGGGCACACACACACAATTTGGAAATGCCAATCCGCCTTAGCATTCTTGGATTGTGGTGGGGAGGGGAATTGAAGCATCCCACAACAACACAGGGACGACAGGCAAACCCCACATGCAGAACCCTGGCAGAGGGTCCCCCACATGCAGAACCCTGGCAGAGGGTCCCCCACATGCAGAACCCTGGCAGAGGGTCCCCCACATGCAGAACCCAGGTCCCAGAGGTCGGAGGTAGCCGTACTAACCACTGCACCATCATGCCACCCCTGAACAGAGACCTTGACCTTCAAATCATATGTTCAACTTTTATGAAAATCAACCATTATATAAAAAAAGAAATGAAAAGTAAACAACATGCCTCTATTGTGACGACTCCTTTTTTTTTGTTTTTTTGTTTAAATCTACCATTTCAAAGATGCAAGCTGAATTCCAGCAAATATTTTGTATGGATTCCGTTATGCTAAACTGATGATTGACATAGTCACTGAATTTTTGTCTTTTCATTTGAGTGTTTTCATGTGTTCTTGTTTTTTCATATTTTAATCTGTTTTATCATAGCAATGACATGCTGACTTCCCTGCTGCTTAACCGTAGGATTCGAGGATCATCGCCCTCTAGCTGTGGCTCCAGTCCCCTTAATTTCACCCCCACTTCCCCCCCAGATTCCTCCTCTCCAGGAGGAAAAAAGGTCAGTGATGTCCATCCCTCACCATTGACTGTTAGCTCACCACAGAATCGCTTACGTTTTGTAAAAAGGTACATTTCTGAACATCGCTTGGGGAAACCTCTTGAAATTGTTAGGTGTAAACTTCAGGCTAGCGGAGGGTATTGTGTCTCAGCCCCTCACAGAACTTTTGCTGATCTTTGTAAAATGAAACCTTCATTTTACCCAGAGCCGCTTATTGAGAACAGGGTTGCAGTACGCTTTGAGTCTGTACTAGACACACATGCCAAGGGTAATTCAGAGCGATTGATCCACCAAAACAGCCTGTCTTTGGACTGTTTGAGTGAACCAGAGCACATAGAGAGAACCAAGGCATCCACAGAGAATTGCATACCCCACAGTCAGGGTTCGAGTCAAGGCTGTCCACAGCAGCGTACCAAATAAACTGATCTGTTGTTATAGGCTCTGAAATTTGATATGCTTGACTTTATTTATTTTTTTCTGACAGATCCAGAATGGTGAAATACCCGACATTCCTGCTGCAGGGTTAGTACAAGGACCAGACTCAATAGGCTTTCCATACCCCAGCAACTCCATAATGAGTAAGTACATTACAGAATAACTGCCAGAAAATGTAAATCTGTAGTATAAAGATATATTTACCATTCTCTAGCAGTTCTGGATGGTACTAACTTATGTGAAAGCCAATACTGTGTAACAGTGAGTGTCGTTCGGTGCTCTGTGCAGCAGGTGACAACTCCCACATGGGTATTAACATCATGGACGATCCGGGCTCCAGCCCAAACAATGACGAGGCAGCCATGGCAGTCATCATGAGTTTGTTGGAAGCGGATGCAGGCCTGGGGGGTCCGGTTGACTTCAGTG